TAAACCCCTGGAAGGGTTTTTGGAGCTGTTTGGTGGCGTTCAAGAAAGGGATGTAGAAGTCCATGGATGGTAACCGGGCGGTGTTTTCACAGCCTCTGGGGAGCCCTTCAACCAAGGGGAAGGGGATCTCGAGGAGATTGATTTGTTGATGGGTGGAGATGCATGGGAGGATTGACGTTGCGTTTGATGGGRTGGTTATGATGGTTACTTTGAGACCACGACGTGAGAGAGCCWTTGAGAGATCAAGTAGGGGGAGGGTATGGCCCTGCGCCATAAASGGGAAAATGACGATGTGGGGCGTTGGTGGGAAAGCCATGAACCTCTGCTTCTCTCTTTGCTGTTTTTTCTAGAGCTTAAACAGATTGGACCTGCTTAAATCTATGTTCGTTAGATATAAAATAATAATAGACTAGTACAATTCTTCTACGGCATTGAGGGTCTGCTTTTCAGTGATTGGCCATGGTTATAGAAAGGGCCACTRTGAGGTTATCAAGTATCTTGTAAGGCGTGAGTAAATTAAATAAGGGTAAATTTCGGAAAGTTTTTAGATGTTGCTGAAATCACCCAGTAAACCCCTCTATTCTAAAAAATGTTCAAAACACTCTTGTAGTTTGAAGAAAATGTTTATTTTCCACTTTTTTTCTGCATATAATATCTTTACTCTAAACCTTTTCAATCTTTTTTTTCAAATTGATTTATTTTCAAGTTTGCCCTTTATATGAATCCCTCAAAGGTAAAGGAGCAGCTTTAAGTTCTCCCTTTATGGTATTGATTTTTGCATAAAATTAAACCAGTCTCACTAGTAACTGTATAAATATTTTGGATATTTTTATGCCTTTTTAGAGGATTGTAGCAGAAGGGATTTACTTACAATTGTGCTATAAAATTTAGGAGAGGTAATTATAATTATAAACTTTAAGGGAAGTTTCGGCAATTTATCCATTAAACAAAGGTGTAACAACCATCTTAACGGCCTATAACCGTTATTATCATGCTTGCAACAAGTTAATTTATGGGTTCTTTGAGTGACATTTTTGTTACACGAGGCTGACTCTGTAACGAAAACGAAGTGCGATATTATTCCTGAAAACTTGTTTAAGCCTGCAAATTGACTATATTTGTTATGCAGATGGAGATCTCAAAATATCCTGACCCATCAAATATGAAAAAAGTTAACTCTGTTTTTTAACTTCTTTATGTTTCCATTTTTTTCTCTCAATTAAAATATCTTCCCCTTTCCCAGATCACATGGGAAGAAAAGCCGTGTGAGTTAAGAGGGACAGCGCTTGAATGTAAGGTTTTAAAAACCGGATTAATGACAGAACGATTCTGGCTACTGGGTTGACAGGTCGATGGTTCGACTGCTCAAGTCAATGGATTTTCTCTAAAAAGATACCTTTCTTTGTCTTCTTAAGTGAAACTCATAAGAATAAAATTAATTATTTTTATATTAATTTTCGATTGATTAATAATGACAAGAGGTTTGGGTTATTATTATCAAGATTGAGGCGATGGAATATTTGCATTACATGTTTCTTGATTTTATGCACTTCATTAATTTTTTTAAGTTTTCTTATGCTAATAAAATAGTTGAACGTGCTGTTGTTCAATAGCTCTAGATCAGACATATGTGTGTCAAGCGAAAGATAAATCTTTCACATGTGCATTGACAAAACTGAGGCTGTTTTCTATGTGCAAAACTGCAAATAAACACATGCCTGTGTGCGCCCAAGCGTGCATTGGGTTAATTGTGTGCAGCAAATACAATATGTTTATGCCCTAGCTGGCGTTAAAAAAAAAAACGTTTATGCCCTAACTTGTGGCTTCACGTCAGCACTGCTCTAATTAATATGATATAATCCTCAGAGTTTCCTCTTCAATTAATCATCTACGTGAAATAAGCATACGCTTACTCAAATTAGAGACCTAGTAATGACAAAATGTCAACCCACTTTTGAAAATAAAACCCAACCTTACTTTTAAATATCATTAATTCGAAATAAGGGTTTGAATAGGGGTGTTCATGGATTGGTTAATCATGGTTAATTATGGGATTATATTTTAAAAATGAACCGATACTACCGTTTTTTAGAAAATTATGAATTCAAATCAAACTTTGATTTATTGATTGATTGATTTGGCTTTTGACTAGTTCAATTTTTCAATTTTCAATTTTTAATATTTATAATATATTATATATATTAAAAATAGTAAGGTAAATTTTATTAAAAGGAAAAAGCAGAATACAAAATACAAAAGAAAGCAAAAACATCAGTGAATTTTCAAAACAACTTATAAATACCTTATTGACTGACCCCACATAACATAAACAGGACTACGGTTAATATGCGCCATTTAGAATCGCTAACAATTCATTCCAAATACTTTTTGTAATGCCAAATTTGCCCCTGTATTTTCAAAACGTTGGGATCTTCTTCTTTGTCTGAAACCATTTGGTGTTTCTACATTAAAATACCCCTCATAATTTCTCCTACTACTTCGATAACCATGCTCCATTTACGACACAACTTGATGGTGCGCAATCTGACCGATCTTAGCTGTCAACGATCTTGCCTCTGAACCAGGTGGCAGGGACCTGAAACGGAAGGAGAAGAGAAGCTCCGGGGAGAACCCGGCGTAAGGGCTCCGAAGCTCAAGTTAGAGTTTCTCAAAGGCAAGATAGATCAGATAGCGCGAAAGTTAGCATACCTCGTTTCTGGGGGGTAGGAGCCTTTTATAATCACCTCGCGCACTCACT